CATAGATTCATAGATGTTAGGGTCGGAAGGGACCTCAATAGATCATCAAGTCCGACCCCCTGCACAGGCAGGAAAGAGCGCTGGGTCTAGATGACCCCAGCTAGATGCCTATCTAACCTCCTCTTGAAGACCCCCAGGGTAGGGGAGAGCACCACCTCCCTTGGGAGCCCGTTGTAGCAGGGAGGGGGTAGAGGAATCAGCAAAGTCCATAAGCATGGGAAATACCCATAGTTCAACACAGGCATCGCTATGCCTAGATCGTCCCTGGCCAGTGGCTGCCCAGACTCTTCTTGAACACCTCCAGCGATGGAGTCTATTCCACCGCCTCGCTAGTCTAGCGGTGAAAACGTCTGTCTGGACATCCAATCTAAAATTGCTTTCCTGCAACATCAAGCCGTTAGTTCACGTCCTCCTCTCCGCAGCGAGAGAAAACGTGTGTTCCCTCTTGTCTATGGCAGCCCTTCAAAGATCTGAAGACCGCTATCCTCTCCCCTCTGAAACACATTTTCCTCAAGCTGAACAGGCGTCGCTCCTCCAGCCCCTCCTATGATATTGCTTTCCAAGCCCTTGACGATGCCCGTTGCCCCCTGCGGACCCTCATCCTCCAAGTGAGAACAACTGCTGCAGCAAAGACCAGAGCCCCCTCGTTATCATTTATGTCACGCAAGCGTCTCGTGCCTCAAACTGAACCCACACAAGAACAATGTGTGAGGCGCTGCCTGCCCGTTGGAGCCGACCATCCCTCTGCCGTGGCGTTATACCCAGGGCTCAAATTACACTTTGGCTCTCGTGGGGGAGGTCTGCAAACAAAAAAAAATGACACTGGTTCATTAATTAACAAGTCCACCTAAGTGAAGGAGCCATGCGATTGGAGACCCCCCAGGTTGTGATTTTAAAATCTTACAGGAGGGCTCTTATGGGAGGAGGGGGACTCAGCCCCCATAATTTGCACCCTGGTTGCCAGCAGCGGTGCTCTCATTTCCATGGGGGTAGGCAGCCCCTCGTGTCCCCAGCCCCAGGGGGAGCGAGGAAGCCCCTGTCCCTGCTCAACAAGCTCTGACACTGCACTGGGCTGCACTCCCCCATCCCCTGCTTGGCGCCAGCAGCGCACATGCGCTTTCCCGCCGCGCTTTCCCGCATCCGTCGCTTCTGAGCCGCGCTCTCATTGGCCACCCCTGAAGCGGTTCGCGCGCATGCGTACCCACGCATACTGGGCGGAGCCCGATTTGCATCCTGCCCGTTCTCCGAGCGCTGATTGGCCGCTTCCTCTTGCCACTCACCGCCTGCGGCAGCCGGGGGCGGTGCCTA